GTATTACTCCTACGGCAGTAATTTTACTATTTTCTAGAATCTTGTTATTAGTATTTCTGTTATGTTATTTTATATGTGTATGGCTTATATGAAATATAAGGTAAAGTTGAAGTAAACTATTCAAGAAGTAGGCATTATTTTTATAGTAAGACCAGCCCCTCAAAGACACACTTGGCAAAACGGTAGTGGACACCTGCCCTTTCAAGCCCTTTACACTTATTCTAGGTAAAAGGAATAAATCAGGTTTACCTTGTAGGCCAACCTTATCTGGAGAACGGTTATAGAACTGCCTGCTATTTAAAACGTAATCCTCAAATATGGTTTCCCGGTATTTGAAATCTATTTAATAGAACCAGTATGTTTCTTTCAAAATTAGATAAAGCTTAAATAAAGCTTAGATAAAATTAGATAAAATGTAAATGTATGATTGACATAGTACATTGAAATTCTTTTATTTAATGTAAAATCACTCACGTCCAATTACTTTGGGGCTGGGGGAAGACAGTAAAAGTAGGAGGGCCTTAGATCCTTGAAGTGATGGATTAACACCTATGAGGAGTGGAGAGTTACACATATACACAGAAAAGATTGGTGACGAGAAGTTGATCACCATTTAGTGATCTCCAACCTTTTTGGTACCAGGGACTGATGCTGCTATGAGAATCTCATGCCTGATGATCTGAGGTGGAGCTGAGGCGGTAATGCTAGTAGTGCTTGGGAGCGGCTGCAAATACAGATGAAGCTTTGCTTGCTAGTCTTCCACTCACCTCCTGCTGTGCAGCCTGGTTCCTAACAGGCCACTGACCAGCACTGGTCCATGGCCCAGAGGTTGGGGACTCCTGGTCTAGCACTTTTCAAATGTGCATCTGTTTAGTCTTTCTATCTTCAACTTCTATGGGTAGGCTCTCTTAAATTTCTGCACAATTTACTACTACACTTTATCAGATAACCTCTTACTAAAAGTTTCAGCATAATTTGAAAAACTGACTATTAGCAATTGCCAAGGAAGTTTTGTATTCCAGTAAATTTAAATCAAGCTCCTAATCCACATTGAAAATTGATAAAACATATTTCAAGATTTTGTATAATAGATCGTTTTATTTTACTTGTATAATACATGCTAATGAAACTTATTTTAGCATGTTATTTCCTAATCCTCAAAGAAATCATTTCTGCTGACCAGTTACAGTTCTTGAAACAATCCACCAGAGTAGTACCAAGATAACAACAGTGCTTTTGATAACACTTAAGAAGATATATGAAAGAGATTGATAGCTTTTGTGTGTTTTTTTTGCAACTTCCCCTTTTGTACCAATAAAACCTGAATAAAGATAGGTTATGCAGTGGTCTGAACCTGGCAAAACCAAACCCCACGTGAAGATTGCCATCCCTCATTGTCCCTGTACACTGTACCAAGCAGCACTTCACCCTGTGACACCATTAACAGTAGCATTCCACCTGCCCCCATCAGTGGCCTTGCCATGGTTAGGACATTCTTTTTTACACCTCCTCCTGCTGGTATGTAAGCCTGTTTTCTCTATTTCTATCTGCTTCTGGAAGTGGAAGACCTTTGGCTAGCATCCCACTTATAATAACCATTGCTGTGTTTGAAAATAATTAAGTTCACCTCATTCTCTTGCTCTAGGCCTTTGAGTCATATCTGTTATTCTTCTCTAGACCATCACTAGTTTCTCTGTGTCATCTTTAGAATAGGGAAACACTTAACTTTTTTTTTGAAAAGGATTCGGCATTATGTAGCTGATGACCTCATAGGCTGGCTAATTAATATCAGGTGATTTCTAATTTTGGTATAACTCTTCTTTCCTATAAATATTTCACATTCTTTTAATATAGTCTTTAAAGAGCAATTATAAACATTTATAAATCATAAATAGTATTTCATGGAGCATCAGCTGGCATCCTCTGTTGATCCAAATTAAAACTTTTCTAAACCTCATCATCTGAGAGGAAAAAATTGCAAACCATGTGTATTGTTACATAACCAGTTCTATAGTCAGAATTCTACTATTGGACTGATCAAATTAAATAGCACAAGATCAGAAATATATTTGCTAAGAACTTGTTTGGGGAAGGCAGCATTTTCTGCCATTACAGAGAATAAAATGCTATTTCAGGATCCATTATTGATTTATGCACTAACCAGGATGGAGAGTCGTAAAACTGAGAGAGACCTTTACCAGTCAGAGAGTTCATAAGTCACTCATGTGAATTATCCAGAACAGATGGTTTTCTGGATAACTTTTAATAATTTTTAATAATCTTTAGGTAAATGGATTCTAAGATTCCTTCAGCAATCTTCCTATCATCTTAAAACAGTCTTTGAAAATAATTTAAACATTGTTTTATGTTTTTTAACTCTTTGCAAAAATAAACAATGGCTTTTCTACATATTAAGGGAAAAAAATTGCTTAGGATCGAAATAGGCAGAAGAAAGAACAAAAGTCAAATTGTCCCTTTTAGTGCATTGGCTGTTTTTTTTTTCTTTTGCAGGTCATTGTCCAGCTCAGGAAAGCCCGATGTTCCTTGTTCTCTGTACATGAAGGAGCTTCAAGGTTTCATTGCCAGAGTTATGAGTGACTACTTTAAACACTTTGAATGCTTGGATTTTGTCTTTGACAACACTGAAGCTATTGCCCAAAGAGCAATTGAACTTTTTATTCGCAATGCCAGTCTCATAAGACCTCTTGGTGAAGGTGGGAAAATGCGACTTGCTGCTGATTTTGCACAGGTAAATTGATGCATAGCTATAAAAGGGAAAATGTTTCAGCCTCAATATTATCTATTAAATGAAAGACTAAATATATTCTTTAGTGTTTTAAAGACTTGAAGTATAAATAAAAATAAATTTATTTAAACCTAATTGATAAAAACAACTTTAAAGATATTTTATAGAAGATTTTTTTTTCTTTTTATTTAACAAAAGAATCACAACTCATCTTTGATACTTCAAGATTAAATAAAGTGAAGTAGCACATTCCATAGTAAAGCAACATTTCTCATTTTTGCATAATGCAGGGCTTTCTCACTATTTTACTACCCCACCAGGTCAATTTTGATAAGAATAATTGATTCACTTTGCTGGAAAATAATGTAGGCAATGAAATGTATTTTTCAAACAACGTAAAGGGGCCATCAGTTGCCATGTAAAGAGAAAGAACTGCAACACATCTGTAATCCTCTGGAGGCCAGCTCAACATCCCAGAACAGTGTTCTAATTTATTACATGCGCAGTGGCCAGGTAGATAAAGAATCTGAGTATTTAGTCTTTTGTATTAAATAGAGTACCTTTCCTGTATGTGGTCAGCCTTGAAATCATTCCAGGCTATCTGATGTGAATGAGGTAAAATAACATTAAAATAACAGAACTATAATTAGCTTGTATAGAAAGGTTTTCTTTGTTTTGTTCTTTGCTCTTTAGACATATATTTAAAAGCCTTTTAATAGTATCAGAGGCAAAGAAGAAACATCTCAAACACACACATTAAAAGATTCAGAACCATGATTCGTATTTACATAACATGTCAAAAACGAATTCATTTTTTAAAGTTTTTTAAAGCTGTTAGCTTTACTAGTCTAAATTACTAATTCAGATGGATTATTCATAGTGCTTTCCCAGATCCTCTCTACTTATAAAGATGGACAGATTTTAACGTCCCTTTTTATTCCTTTGTGTATGTGTGAGCAAGTCTTGGTTCATTATTCCTGCACTGAGGAAAATACATGGCTGACTGCTCATACCGGGTTGCTGGTTGCCCAAAGCTCCCTTGTATCTGAAAAGAGTCACAAAAAGGAGCCAAGTAGATAACCTCATATTTCAAGAGCTGGGCTCTTCACATATCAGTTGGTCTAGAATAAGCCATTTTCATCTCCAGATGATAAGGCTTTGGTCTTTAGTAGACCATGGTAAAGAGCCTTCCTTTGGGAAATCTGGTTTGGTAGCCTTAAGCATGAAAACAGAAATTAAACATTACCATTAACATGGCTTATTTTATCATTCCCATTTTTATCAGATTTGTTCTCAAACACAAGTACATTTTGCTTTGTTGTTATAGATACACTTCAGCTTAAAGAGATCTATATATTAATGGTGTCTTACTTGTCCCTTACCGGGCTTACAGGCTGTTATTGAAATGAAGACACAGTGATATCACAGGACCTGCTCTTATTTATTAAAAATATTATAAGCTATACTCAAATGAGTGTCTGTCCTTCTTTTCCCCTTTCCTTTTTAATTTTGTTTTTCTTTTCCTATCCTCTTCTCTCTCCTGGGCTCCCTCCCCCACCAGTTTATTTGCATTCTGCTCCAGCTGGTTCTTGAGTCACTTTCCTGGAGGCAGCACTTCAAGTCCAATTAGAGTGGCAGCCAAGCAGGAGATGAGCAAGAGATGGCCGGAGCAAGAATGCTGTAGGAAGAAGGCTTTTCGTTTTTGCTTTTTATTTTAATAATATGTTTTCTGAGTCTTAAAAGGTGGAAAGCACTGTCCTTTAACCCTTGCTACTGCAGCTAGCCCCTGCTCAAAATGCAGAGCAGCCAGTGGCAGGGCTGAGCTCTTACTTTCCTAAAACTGCATTATTCAGAATTTTATTTGGTATTCTTTCTTTTTAAGGACATGTTGCCTAATAAACCAGACCTATTCCTAGGTCTCTTCCCTTAAGATAAATGAAACTCATCAATCATTGTTACTAACTTAAGCTCCCAGGCATCCTATGTTTTTCATTTCTTAAATATATTTAGAAAAGGTGTTTACAAGATAGCATTTCTTCAATGTTGAGTATATTTTCCAGCGCTGCGGTGACATAGGTTGATGCAGTCTGTGAGGAGCTGCTTCCTTTGTTCACTCCTGTAGAGTGTGCCCCAGTTTCAAACATCTATCTACTCAGCTTGAGGATGGCTTCCTGGTCCTGTAGGTCATAGGCACAGGAAGACGGGTGGAAGCACTATCATAATCATGTTTGTGACCTGTAACTTTGGCAAATATTATTCAATTGTTATATTATTACACCTCCCATCTTTTAAAAAATTAAAGTGAATTTGGGGTTTTTATTTGATTTGATTTCTTGCCACAACTGCAATTTTGTGTTGTTACACCTCAGCTTTCAGCCTTTAATTTGGTTGGAAGTACTTTTTTGGGGGTCAGTCAAAATATTTAAATAGCATCACCCTGGCATTTATATTCATGACAGGTGACAACTGGGGACTAGAAAGCCTTTTGACTGCCTCATTATTGAAAGGTCTATCAATTTGTATTCAAAATTAAACCAAGCCATTGAAGCCACTGGAATCAGGAATACACAAATCCTCTGTGAATATGAAGAGTTCTTGTGACAGAAGTGCCTTCTATTCTGGCATAGATAACAGAAAGATAAATTGCTCAAGAAGAGATTAATGGAGAATGTTTTGGAATGCTGATTATTTGGCATAAAGTCCAGTTGCAAAGACAGATCATGATATATTTTAAAGATTTATTTAGGAATCCTAACTTCTCCCCACTGTCAGGCACCATTGCACAGGTGAAAGAGAAGTGGCTGCAGGGAGCCATCTGGAGGGTTCATGATGAGGAAGTGCCCAACATGCAGTCCCCTTAGGAATCAGGTCACAGCACAAGGTGGTTTCCCACAGGCAATTACTTCCTCACTGTGACCACATGGTCTCCGTGTCTACACGAATCACAGCAATTCTAAAGCACTAAGCTTGTTGAAGGCCTCTGGGGTTCTGCCTTTTCAGAATCTCTCTAGGGACTTGTCCACACTGTTCTCTGAAGCACACACTCCCCTCTGCTCCTCGTTTCATTTCTTCCCTGAGGGAAAGGATAACTATTGAACTTAGCATTAAATTATTTACTCAGTGGTACTTTTAGCGCTTCTATTTTAGGTCTTCTCGTGTCCTTGAAGTATACATTTATAACTATATTTCACTTTTTGCCTGAAAATACAAACTTAGAAATGAAAACAAAATAATCAAGATTCTAATTTCTGTTCTAATTCCTATCCTTTTTCTCCTTAACAATGTCAGGGCAGGAGTGTCCTAGGAGCATCCACAGATGCCCTGTGGTTAACCAAATGTCTGTGGTGGGCAAGGAGTAGCTATGTAATTAGTTCACTGGGCCTGCAGCTGACCTCTCAATTCTCTCCAAACAGGAGAGTTGCACATGCCATTTTTTTATCCACAGCTAATTGCAGAGTCTCCTCCTCTAAAAGAAAAATTCCTGCCCTTTAGAAACATGGCCTTTATTATTTAATGGAATTCTGACAGAAGAAAATGGTTTTTAATACCCTAAAGGTATTTTGTGGATGAGAAATATATTTTAAATACTTAACATTTTGAAATTGTACTATGGCATAGAAATCTGCATCATTATAGATTACACAGACAGCCATTCAAGGTCATATTCTCTCATGTTGTAATTTTTTCTTAGCCACTTATTTGTTTTAACATTCAATCCTGCTCAAGTGCTAAGGCAAAGGTTGTTTGGTTTAATTTTTGAAGATGATGAAACCCCCTAGGGTAATTAAAAAAAATTTGACAAAAACATTCCGTTAAAAATACTTTTCAGTGTGTAAAAAACCATCATATGTATGTATGCACTCACACACACACACACACACACACACAGTTCGGTATATAATTGGAGATACATGATAATCTCATTTTTACTTTGTACTCAGTGTAAAATAAATGACACATTCTAAAGAAAACCAGAAACTCCCACTGAGTGAATAAACAAAACAGGCCACACAGAAGAGCCCATCACCCATTATCTTTTGAGTTTAGCACTGGCTCAGAGCTGCTCTGTTTTGCATCGTTGGCAAGAATCCTGACATTTCTTCCTGAGATTTTTCTCTTTTTATTTATTTATCCTTTTCTGTTTTACTGAGTTTTCCAACTTTGTGAGTTTTCCCTCTAGGACATACAGTATATACTCTGTGTCTATGTTATGAGAAAAATTCACCTGGCCACTGGTCACCTTCAAGACCATCTCAAGGACATTGTCCTCAGTTCTTCCCTGACAGATCATACATTTGATACCACACTTGTCATTTTGCTGAATAATCATCATTATATGTGTATCTATATGTCTGTGTGCATATACATATCTTTCTTATGCTTTTATGGAGTAATAATTATATCGTTTGGATAAATGTATATCCCCTTCTTCACTAAATTTGAGAGAGCTCCATGAAGGCAAGACAGTCTAATTCATCTTCTTATTCCTGTGTCTAGCTTGGTGCCTGCAATTAACAGGAAGTCAAAAATCTTTCTTAAATGAATGATCGTTTAGGTCTCCATGGTCTTACAGTAGCAAGGAGATTTGAACAGTTTTTCAAAAGGATTGCCAGCAGTATAGAAACCCTCACTTTCCTTTCTTATGTTTTTCTTGAAGAAAGATACTGCATTACCAGGGAGCAGCCTTTTTTCAGCCATTTTCTAAACTATTCTTTACTAGGGTCCTCTTTATAGCAAGCGTGGAGAAACCGTGTCCTCTGAATTCCACATATGCAAAAACTTTCATATTTGTATATGTACTTGGTAGATAAAGAACAGGTAGCCTAAAACTCCAATTAATGACAAGTAAAATTTCCAGTCAAAGGAGGAAAATAAAGAGAAGCAAAACCAATAGTTGCTAAATTCTTGAGTCAGGAAGCAAATTAAATTACTAATAATTTAAATGCGGGAAAGTTTTTAAAATACTGATAATAATTGCCATTATTTAAAGAGCACTTACTGTATATGCCATGGACACAATGCTTTGTGGAATTGCTTATTTTATTTGCATAATTCTATGAAGTAGGTATTATTATCTCCATTTGACAAGTAGGTATTATTATCTCCATTTGGGGCTTAAAGAAGTTAAGTCCAGGGCCAAACAACTAGTCATTGTAGACTGGAATTCTGACAAAGATGTGCTACCTCCAGAGTCAGCGCTTTTAATTAGTTGGACTAACCTGGTAAAAATTGTCATTTTTTACATTTAATGTAAAAAGACTTGTTATGACTACTTAAAATACAGGCACACAATCGGTCTTGAAAACCTTCCTTTTTCTGATTTTCAATGGAGAAAAAGTCTAAACTTTCTCCTCTTACATAACGAAAAAATGTTTTTCTATTTTTTGGGGGAGGAATTGTCTCATCTTATTCCCTTTTAGTAAGTAAGTGCAAAAGTTATCTAAATTCTTGCCTTTTAATAAATTTGATTGACTTTTAAAACTTGCCTCATAGTCCAGATAAAATTAAGTTTATTACAGCTACAACTTTCTGTGATATAAGTGTGTCCCCAGTTCACTTTAGGATGCTCACATAAAAAGCTATGAACATTATCTTTTAATATTTCAGATGGAGTTGGCTGTGGGTCCATTTTGCAGAAGAGTATCTGATTTAGGAAAGTCCTATCGAATGTTGAGGTCATTCAGGTGAGACATAATTCTGTTATTGCTGTTAATATATCCATAGCCTATTAGCAGATAAATACTTTTCTCTTATTTCTGTTGAACTATAAAATTGCTGAGATTTAACCATTTTATTACCTACAATAATGGTTCATCTCAAAAGTTATTATTCAAACCAGAAACCTGTATAAAATTATATGCAATGACTAATGAGTGTGTGTGTGTGTGTGTGTGTGTGTGTGTGTGTGTGTGTGTGTTTGAGTTACATTTCAGAAGATTGAGCTGGTAAATTTTATTATGCTCTTTCTAGGGGTATTTTTTTTATTCCATTCTTACAGAAATATATTGAATAGTAATACCAGGCAGTTCATAATTACATAAACATCTTTTTCTGAAGTTTTCCCTTGTTCATTTATCATTTTCAATCCAGTCTACTTCTAAATAGGTCATAGGTTACATTCCATAACAAAACTATTGAATAGAGTATTAAAAGAACTGCATTTAGTGATAAAATGTAGTGAATAACTGTGAATGTAGTAGGTGATTTCGACAGAAGATGGCTAGTGCAGTTGAGCACAAAATTTAGGATTGAGCTTCCTGAAAACCAGTTCAAGAAAGAAAAACAGTGAGTTAATTCATACTCATGATCTAAGAATATGCCTATTTAATGGGAAAAAACTTTCAGTGATGAATGCTTGGGTAGGTCTTTTCTTAACGTCAGTGTTAAGGAACATTAGCTTAATGACTAGTGTCTTCAATAGCAGATTTTAGAAAATAAGAAGGTGTACATACGGCTGTTTATTCAATAATCCGGAACTTCCCAAACTTTTTCACACCATGGCACACATAGAAAATGTATATATATTCAAAAAGATGACCATCCCTGAGGGTTGAAGAGATCAACATAATACTTATAACCATTTTGTGACCACAGCATACCAGAAAGGAAGCCTTGATATAAACTATCTATAATATCCAACAGCATACAGTAGTCTTTGAATGTATTTCTGTGAAGATTAGGTAAGAGTCCAGGCATGTGGCTTTGTAAAAATGGACTCAGTACTGGAAACTAGAGTAACCAATAAGCAGTATGTCCTTTAAATCACTTCACTCTCTTATGTCATCTCAGCTTTTGGTAGTAGAAAATTCAGATGAAATGTCACTCAAAATATAAGAATCCAAGTTGTTAATTAAAAAGGGAGTTCTGTGCTTTGTAATTGGCAGAGATTTTTTTTAATGCCAACATAAGAGCCTGAATTTTTTTTCTCAAATGCCGATCTGTGCAGAGGTGGGTTTCAAAAAAATTTTAAATGAAATCACAAGTGGAGATTTCAAAAAACTTAAAGTGAGATGCTACCAAACATGGAGAAGTTGAAAGATTAAGAGGTCTTAGGGTTATGATCCCCTAGTCATCTGTCTGTATAATTAAAATAACCCTAATAAAACTCCTGTAAAAATCACTTACTTTGAATAAGATGGTAACACAACAGTCCCAGCTGGGTGATAAAATGCTGCCCTGAGTAACAGAATCAGTTAGTACACTGGAGGATATTAAGCAACTAGTTAATGAAAAGGGTTTGGGAAAAGCTGTGACTTCGATTTGCTATATTAAGATTAGGCTATTACTTTTAATTGTCCTAGCTCCCATGTTTAGTTGTTTATTGCATATGTTTGTATTAAAATAGTGCTTATCTTTCTGTTTGCTGAAACAAGATGGCCTTTATTAAAGTTATGTCACAATATGGTGATACAAGATCTGCAGGTTTATATAAGACCAGTGTGTTAAAAGTCATTTAAGATGGGAGTTTTCTGTTAACCTCCCAATTCTCACATGAAAAGAGGACACTAAAGGGTCTTTTAGCATTTGAATAGTGATACCTTCTAGTACCTATTTATGGAATAAAAAATTAATGATTGATCAATGTATAATAAAAGGAAATTCTACATTTTTTATACCTAGCTTCTCTAATGGCGCAATGGTCAATCTAGATGGGTTTCACACTTTTAACTATGACTCAGAGTTATTCTGCATTGCAGTTTTGCATAGACTTACATGCAAACCTGCAACTACATACAAACCCATATATCTACAGATGCACACCCACATGTGTGTCATGAAGCAGTAATTACTTTTCATGCGATATCCTATGACGCTTTTTTTTTGTCGGATTATTTTAACCCTCTAAATTGGTTTCATGACTCACCAGTGGTTTGCATCCAGCAGTTTGTCACCTTTCTTACAGGGCCCTTAACTTGAACTTTAGCTGTTCTAGTGACAGGGGCAGAGTTTGTTCCTTTCTACAGCTATAAAGGTTTATGCCCTCTTCTCCTGGGATTCTGATACACCTGAGCTTCCTTAGCTCCCAAGGCCTCGACACATATGTAATAAGAATAATTTCATCTTTCTTACGGAGCATTCTCCATAACTTGAATTCAATGAAATATTCTAACAGAGATTTATATCTACCAGTATATTCCTACATTCATATGGAATCAACAGAATTCTCTTAATAGATCCTAGCATTATTCTCAGTTGTTTGATGGGACTTGGACAACCATTTGATAAAGATTTTAGGATTAACCAGATTAGGAAATAAAATGAAAGCGTAATGTATTCTGGGGTTAAATCTAGCCCTAATCTGCCAAGAATGTTTTAGGTCTCATCTTTTAAAAAGAGAGATATCAGTATGTGCCACTGCCTCTGCCTGTAAACTCTAGGAAAGCCCCCAGCCGTGCTGGCTTCTCCACAGTTGTCACATGAAGAGAATTGACTTAGGAAAGCTTACCTATTTGCAGGGGCCTGCAGAATCTCTTCCTAGAGAGGAGTAAATCAGTACAGAGTAATCTTGATTCCAGTTACCCAATTCTAGGCCCTCTATTTGCCTACCTGCAAAAACTTGTTAGAGATCTGTCTCTAATCCAAAATTAGTCCTGAACAGTTGCAGTGGAAGGGCCCACTCTTGTTAATCTTCCCATCTGTGCTGTGGGTTGTGACAGGGAATAAGCATCATCCAGTGGCTATGTACAGAATTATCTTGGCTCTCGTTCATGATCTCCCCAAAGGTTCTGAATCACACCAGACCAGCTGAATGGCGGTCAGTGGGAGATTGGCTAAATAATATATGCCACATCATAGGATCAAATACATGCGTCTAGCAATTTATATTGTTAATAACTAATAATATCAACAATACTTCCTAATATATCATGAAATGAAAAGACAGGCTATTAAACAATATATATGATATGATTCCTGCTACTTTTTAAATAATAATATATGTGTGTGGAGAGGAAAAGTCAAGAAGGATAAATATCAAAATGTTACCTTTGGGTAGTAGGGTTGTCACTAGTGATTTTTCCTTTAGAGGTTTTTGTGTTTTTCAAATTTTCTGCCGTAGTCATTTTATATTTGTAGTCAAAAAAATGGGTAAACATTTAAAATTTTCTCTTGCAGTGTTTTTCCCATTTAAAAATAACAGGGGAGCTAAAAGAATAATATAAAATATATTAAAACATTATGCAATGTGAAGGAGGGAGACAAGAAAAACAGGCAGCCAAACAGCCCACACCTGGCAGGTTGGGCGTTGGTCTGAATAAGTGGCAATGGCTGCAGGAGAGGGCAACTGGCCCTTTGCAAGGGAGCGTGACAGTGCCAGCCAGAAAGCCCCCTGTCCTGACTGTAGGGGCAGCACCCCTCACATACACACAGACCCCGGGCGCCCCTCCTCCATCACATAGCCATCTATCGCAGGGCCCTTTTTCCTTAATGGTGATGATATTAGTGCATTATTTAATTAAGCCAGCAAGCTTCAGGCATACATTTACATTTTGCTGTCTACATTAGAGTGTCTCAGGCAGCAGAAATCTTTTCTTACCCTGGACGGAATGCTTCCTCAGAAAGCTACTGACATTAGAGATTTGTCCCTAGGTGACTGTTGTGTCTACACAAGATGGCAGAGCACCACCAGCTAGGGGCTAGAAAGCTCTGACCCTCAGCATCCTCAGCACAGATATTCATGAGGCAGAGAACTGAAAGGGGCCACAGGCCTTGCATCATCAGGAACACAGACCCTGCCCTCAGCAGGCACCACTTCCTTTGCTCTGGAGGGAACAGCTTTGTCTCTGAATTTTGTCCACAGCCTGCTCTGCTGGAAGCTTTGTTTGGTTTAATGAGAGAGGAGGGAAAGCTGTCAGGAGGTATGGGCTATTATGATGGGTCTGTTAGCTGAGGGGCGGTGAAGAAGAAAACCATCAATAACTCTAGGGTATAGTGTTCATGTCAACTTTTTAATTGTAGGTAAGGGATTTCTGCCTCTACAATTTATATTGGTGATCATCTGCTGCTTGAAATCCCAACCCTCCATGCCTGAGTGTATGTAGAACTGTAAGGCAGCCATCTTTGTAGCTGCCATGTTTAGCATCCCCAAATGTGTTTTGTCCTTTCTTTCTACTTGTGAACCTGGGGCCCATTAATCCATCCCTTGAAATAACTATTTCCCTAAGATTTCTGGATTCTTAATTCCCAATTGGAGACTTTACCAGTGTAGCCAGAAGGCAGCCACACCTTGGGCTTGGTTTGGTTTGTGTTTACTAGTACTTCGGTAGTGTTAAGAGCATCCGCTAAACATGGAGAGATGGATATTCAGTTTGCTACAGTATTTATTTTAGCAATCATTATTTGATCATTTACTTTATGCTAAATTTTTGCTAAGTATTTTACTGACATTGTCTCATTTCACCCTCACAACACTTGCGAGTCAGGTATGACCCCCATGAGGCAGCAGATGCTAAGAGAAGGGAAGTTGCCAGGGCTGCACATCTGAACATTGTATGAGAATTGCAGAGCTGCATTTCAGATGCAAGGCTGCCCGATCCCAGAGCCTTTGCTTGTAACCACTGCATCCCACGTCTTCTTCCAGAAGTTCCTGTGTGTTTGCTCTCTTGTCCTAGAAGAGTATTTGAATGCTTCTGTGAATCATCCAAAATGTTAGAAAATTTAAAGAGAATCTAAACTTCCTTCTTTGGTGGGGACCTTGTGCTATCAAAAGACCTCACTGTCTTTCGCCTCTTATAGGCTTCCAGGAGACGCATTGGCAATGCTGAGCCTGCTGAGATTGACAATCTGGACTCTAAGAAAGAAACCCAGAAATCCTCTAACCTTTCTACTTTGAGCCTTGACGCCCCCCACCCCACCCCGCCCCCCATCACCAACCTCCTGCTTTACTTTGTTCTGGGACCCACATGCCACAACATCTGGGCCTAAAGATGCCCCATCGAGGCCCTCACCTGTTGTGGGCCTCTGACGCTCATCTCTTCCCTTCCTTCTCTGAGAATGCCCACAGTGTGTCCTGAGCAGGGAGGAATTGTATTTCCTTTCACCACCTCATTCTTTGCTGGTCCCAGATCTCAGTGCATTGTCTTAGTGGTCCTGCTGCCTTCCCAGGCCCCTCACCAAAAGGAGGTTTGTCATGGGGGTAGTGGCAGGTAGCATGGGCCACCACTGATGTTAAGTGTGGACATAGGAACAGCAGGACTTTTGTTTCTCTTCACTTTGTAATTGTCCTTAACATAAGACTGACAGCTATACAGTATGAGTCACTTAACTATGGAGATCTCTTACCAGAAATACAATTTTTCTAAGGGGACCTAATACTTGACTGATTAAAACTATCTATTGGCTGTTAAGTTTAACCTTGAAAGTGCTCCTATATTTATTTTTCTCTAAAAATGATATTATAGCATTTGGATTGTCTGTGTTTTATAATACCTTAATTAATTTACTTTTGTTCCTTATATCACATCAGATGGTGAATTATTTTTTAAATTGCCAATATTTCAGAGTCCACTTGGATTCAGAGAGAAGAGAGGTTCTCAGCTGTGTTCTGTCAGACTCTTTAAAAAGCACCAGAAATAAAATGTCTACATTTGATGTTTACGTAATTATGTCAGTGATACATAATATGGAATCAAATTCAGTTTTGCTTTCTATGGCTGTTTCGGCAGTCCTGTTAGTAGCTAGAGTGGAAGATTTGGTCCTGGCAGAAAAATAACTACTGTGACTCAGAGCTCCAAAGAGACAGGTGATTGACCAAACGATCTCATTTTAAAAAGCTGGGTTTTACCAGACCTGGTTTGTGCAGGCATCTCAGCCAGCAACCTTGGTGTATGTGGGTCTGCTAGACATGGCACATCACAGATCATTCCTCTCTCCCTGCTTCCTTCCCTCCTTTCTGCCATTGTATCATTTGCAGTTTGCATCAAGAGTATAGTGAAGGAAAATAAAAACAAATATTCAAACTATAAAATTAATTTAATTGTTATAGGTAAGTTTCAAATTTGAAACTTTCCCCAGGTTTTCTCACGTCATGAACCAGGGTTCAAGATGGATCCTACCATATCACGTGCAGGGGCAAAGAGTGGGCTTTACAGGGGGAAAGGGAAAGGGACAGCAGGAAGAGAAGTAAAGGTTTGGGTTCCCATGTCTCCCCACATCCCTCAGAGTAACCTTTCTGGCCTGCAGTGTAAGCCTGTGACACAGTGGAGGACCCCAGCCCCACTGCCTCTTTCCACTTTTACAGCTCGGATGTGGGAGCAGCCTTGTCAGTGGTGCAGTAAGCAGACTGCTGGGTCACAGGCACGATTTGGAGGTCCAGGGACCTGTCTGGGAATGCCAGCTGCTCAGCACCCAGGGGCCGTGGGCTGGGAGAAGTTTCAGCGTCCCCTACTGAGACAGGAGGTCTTCCAGTCTGTGGGAAGTGAAGCTGGGGTGCAGCCTCCTCCTCATTTCAACCCAGACTCAGCTTCCAGAGGCCTTTAAGACAGCACCACTTGGTGCCCTACAGTAACTAATGGTCATGCCAGAAGAAAGGAATTCCAAGAAAGGCTGTGATAAAATGGTTCAAGTACATAGGTAACAGGAGTCCACTTTGACCTGAGAGAGAGTTTGGGGTACCTAAAGAGATAATAAATTGCATGGGTGTCCTGTAAACACTACTTTCAGATAGGTTTTTCTACAGGAGTGATTGACAGTTTGAAATGGTCCTTTCTTCGGGGTTCTTTGTTTCTCGCTGAATTCGTCTGTCTGTTTGAAAACTGGGTGAGCAGTTGCTGTCATTGAGATCCTAAAGGAGGATGCAGGGTGAAATTAAGAGCCAGGCTGCCCAGGGGTGAATCCTAGTTCTGTCCTTTTCTAGTTTGTACTTGAACTCTCTACCCCTCAGTTTACCTGTCTGTAAAATGAGAGTGTAATAGTACTGACCTCGTAGGGTTGTTTAGAGCAGTGGTCCCCAACCTTTTTGGCACCAGGGACCAGTGTTCCTATGAGAATCTAATGCCTGATGATCTGAGGTGGAGCTGAGGTGGTGATGCTAGCTCTGGGGAGCGGCTGCAAATACAGATGAAGCTTTGCTCTCTAGCCCTCTGCTCACCTCCTCCTGTGCAGCCTGGTTCCTAACAGGTCACAGCCTGGGAGTTGGAGACTCCTGGTTTAGAGGAATAAATGAGTTTATATATATATATGATATATATATATATCATATATATATATATATAAAGCTTTTAAAACAGTGCCTGACACATTAAGTGCTGTATGTGGTAGCTATTGCTGTTATTGCTGCCCTTGTTAAAACTGGGATCTTTTACCTAGATGGAGAAAATGTCACCCATACACAGAGCAGGACTTACAGGGATGCCTATGGGCAAAACCAGAATCCCGTCAGACACGTTTTCATACCTGACTAGGTGCTTGACTCATTGCCTAAAGCTCTGCAGCTGAAATATTGTGTGATGACTGGGGTCTTGAAAATATTCAAGACAAGTGTATTACGTTCTTGGTAGTCATTGGAGGCCTTCGTCATACTCCTGTACAGTGTCTGGTTTGGAGCTTTGTAGGCAACACAAATGAACTGAAATGTTTCTACAGTAACTAAATAAAATAAATTACTAAGAAATGTTGTTTGATAAACAATTGAAATTAGAACAGTCCTTATCAGAGATACTTATACTTATGCTATATATTTATAGCATACTTAATATAAAGACATTCTTTCTAATAATATTCTGGATCTAACAAGAACCAACTGTCTGTTGTGAGCACTCCTGACTTGACCTCAAACCTGACCATCGGTGTGAGGAAGAAGCTGGCCTTTATCCATAGACGGGAGTAATTCTGATGGGGCAAGGTTGCTGCCCAGGCTACAGAGCTGATTCACCTGCTTCAGCATTGTTGCTGCTGTCGGGAGCTGTGGCCATCTTACGTCTTGAGATTCAGCCTCTACAGCTTGGCCTCTAATCCACTCCTGTCCATCAAAGCCCAAAGCCAAGGTCAATGAGAGTGTCTAATAATTGTTGGTGGCTTTGTGACAAGGCGGTAGATGACTGGTGAAGGGGTAGACTGGCCTACACGATCCTGTGGAATGGTGGATGATGACCCCCCCGACGTACAGTGCATTAGAAGGCAGCTGGCATAAATCTTTGATGGAAGGTTCAGCAACAAAATAATTTTGTATGTACAAGGACATAATTGCCCTCTGAGAAGTTATATAGAAAATGTTTGAATTTACCTACCTTAGATTATAACCCAAAGAAGGATTTTATTTAAAATGAATGCTAAAAGTTTTGACCAAGATAAGAACCTATTAGTTATAAATACTGGAAGGCTTTATTATGTGCTTTGATTTTAGCCTATTAATCACATAGGGGATTAATCTAAGAGAGGATTTTGCTGAGTCACCCGGAAGCAAAGTGAGACCCTCAGGCCAGTGAGCAGGCGATCATGATGATCAAGGAAGGGGCTGAAGGGCAGGCCAGCCTGCCAGAGCGTGTGGATGTGCATGTGTCTCCAGGCTAAATGCTGGCTTAAGAATTGGTTAAGAATTAGCCAGTCAAGGAAGAATGCTATTATTCATTCTTCTTCTATTATACTGTTATACTACCATGCTGTTATATTCTACTAATATGCTATTATGATTCTTCTACCAAATCACCTTTTAAGTATTGAACAGCATGAAGTAACTTCTGTTTTTTCTTCTTTTAGACCACTGCTCTTCCAGACAAGTGAACATGTGGCCAGTAGTCCCGCCCTGGGGGACATCATTCCATTTAGCGTCATTATTCAGTTTTTGTTCACGAGAGCACCTGCAGAGCTGAAATCCCCCTTCCAGGTAATAAAGTGAAGCCACAACCCTCTTATGAGTCTTCCCTTTTAACTCTGTGAATGCACAGCCCACTCACTGAATGTATTCCTAGCCTTTTTTTTGTCTCATTTCATGGATTTCTGTCTTAGTAGCGTATCATTAAGGCAGGAAAATTCCTACTGCCCTGCCCCTACTTTCTCTGCAGTGTAAGAATTACCCCGTGAATCCAGAATTAGCCTTTTAAGTAATAATGACAAGAATAATTTATGTTTATAAAGCTTTCTTGACGGAGACCCCATTTCCTTTGCTGACCCACCTTTCTTTCCTTAGGTGGGTATTTGAGGTAATTTCACCTTGGGAATCTTTGAGAGCGCTTGCTGCCAGTCACAGAAGGAATGCGCATGCGCTCTCTCTTCTCTGTGTTTCAATCCTGCAGAGGGCAGAATGGTCCCATGCACGCTTCTCACAGTGGCTGGATGACCATCCATCTGAAAAAGACAGACTCCTACTCATCAGGTAAAGCCATGTGTTTTAGGGACACCTATCTGTTCTAGAAGCCCAGGGTGAGTTGGGGACCCAGGGGAAGAGGAAGGAGCAGGGCCTGGGGGGATGCGTACACATGATGGCACCTCCTTGTGGCAAGACCCCGTCACTGCATAAGCACGCATGCTGGAGCTCCAGTCAGAACTGTTGGGCACAACAATTTTTGCTTTCTGTGTCCTTTGCTTCTAACTCTTTTGTGCTATCCCATGTCTGATGCAGTCCTACGAATTATGCACTTTTGGTTTTGAAAACCAACCTCAGCTATAAAAAGACTCCTTGTCTTAGCTCCACATTTTGTTTCATTTTCATGTGTTGCAGTTATTGAACTGGTGGAGCACAGATGCAAGTACACTTTTAAAACAAGATCACCCAGCAGCCATTTAGATACCACATGCCCTCCAGTAGTGCCCCACAAATGTATTCATACTCATATGCATGCGCGCGCGCGCACACACACACACACACCCACACACAGATACACACCCCATAGACCCTGGCCATGCCGAGGTTGGGGTGCATCAACTGTCACATATGATTTATTAAGCATCTCTCTTCCATCAGCATTCTCCTCTGAAATTGCTCTTACCAAAATCTCCAGAAACCGCTTAGCCACCAAGCATTTCTGTTCTTAACATACACTCTGCAGCATTAGCTAGAGTTGACCATCACTTCCTTCTTGAAATTCCTCATTGACTAATTAAACACATTTTTACTGATGCTCACTATGTGCTAGGCCCTGAGGACACAAAAGCGAACTGAGACACAGCCCTGCCCTCTTGGAGCTTCTATGACATCATGGTCATCTGTTTCTGTTCTAACCTTTCCAGCCATTTTTCCTCAGTCTCATTTGCTGAATTGTCTTCTTCTGTCCACTTTTTAAATGTTAGCATTTCCCACAGTTTGTTCTTGGCTTGTTTTCCTTCACATTCTGTCTGTACTGTAGTCCCCGGGTAAGTTCATCTAGACCCATGACTTTAGTGATCTCTTCTATCCCAGTTGCTTCCAGGTCTGTGACTCACTGTGATTGCCCAGATGCTCAGGCCAGCAAACTTGCAATCGTATGTCGCCAAAGTTCCACATAAATCTCAACCCCAAAATGTTAAAAATAAATCATCTTTCCTGTCATACCTGCTCATTCTTCTAGACTCCCTGTCTTGGTTGAGGTGTCACCATCACCTATCCAGCCAAGCTAGAAAACTTTTTAAGTCATCATGCAGGTCCTCTGTCATCCTCATCCTCTGAATCCAATCAGCCATCCCTCTTAAATAGCTCTCAAAAGCGTTCTAAGTTCTCCTAGGGGATCTTAATGCTTTTGATCTGGGAATCACAGCACCAAACAAACCTTTCTTGAGCCTAAATGTGGATGATGAGTTGGGTTCCTCAAAGCCAGAGTGGGGCTGATGTGGTGATGTGGTTCTCAACCATGTTTGCACATGAGAATCATCTACAGGCTTTGAAAAATTCTGGTGTTAGGCCACTCCCTTGACTGCCTCAGAATCTCGGGGGCTGGGCCCTCACATCAGGATTTCTTAAAGCTGCCCAGGCAGTTACATAGCACAGCCGAGGCTGAGACCTATTGCCTTAGTTATCAGGCAAGACTCCACCAAGGAGGGACGCCATGAGAGGCCACTGAGAAACATCAGCCCATCAGCTTCAGGGAGTCCCAAAGACTCAGCTGCTACCCACTGGATAACAGAAGAGGATTTAGGATTCAGTTAAATTAATAGGTTCATTTTTGTCTTCTTAAACTGGAATGAGTTCATCTAAAGCAGTTGTCTTGCTGAGGACACATCAGAAATCTGTTTTCTTTTGCTTTTCTTTAAAAATGTCTCCTGGGTGATTTCATCAGTAGTGTTGTTGCTAAGCTTATATTTGGCAACTGAAAATCATGCTAAGAAATAAGGTCATGCTTTTTAAATAAGGCCTATCATTCCACACATGTCTGCTATGAGAACCTTCATGCTCTAAGCAGCAAATCGAGATTCCGAAACACCATGCCCCTGCCGCGGTCCAAGCTGCGGGCAAGGAGCGGAGCTGTGTTTTAGAAAATGTTCTCTCTCGTCTGTTATTGTACAACTGATTTTGTCCCTGCGTACTGAAGCACCACTGGATGAATTTCTTTCCCTTGTAGATAAACCCAGGGTGAGTATTGCTCTTTAAATGTCAGTAAATTTGTTTTAGCTTTGGGGGCAAACCTTGTTATATACTCATTTGTTTCTTCCAGCATAATATGTTAGGTTGTCATAAAGTAGGACAAATTGAGGACAGTGTGACTACTGCTGCTGAATAAATGTCAAATAATGAACTCTCTTCTGCCTTCCTATTTCCTTTGACACCAGATGTTTCTCTAGAGCTTGAGTGGATACTCATCAAGTTAATTTTAAAATCAGAGTAATCACTGGCTCATGGGGCCAAGTGGTGTGAGTGGGGGAAATTGTACGTACTCAGCTCCTACCAGGCAGGTGCTCCAGACGTGTGTGTCCTCGGATGTGGAAGCTGCCACCTGGGGGAAGACCTGTGGGTCTATAAGTGTTGACTGTGTTCTCAGTAAAGATGAAGACCAAGTTTTTGATGCAAAGATTTCCCAAGCTTTGCAGAATTGGTGGGATTGGCCTCAAACCCTTATATACTCTTGCTATTTACAATGAAGCAGCAACTCTTTTTCATTGTGACCTCCTTTTGCTTTTCCCTAGTCTAAATGGAATACCTTGAGTGTCAAAAGTGTTTGCAGACTTTATTCACCTATTGGTATTTTTTATCTATACAATTATCAGACCTCAGTGCGAGATGTCTCCTTGACCTCTAGCCCTCCTGCTGTGGTCGGGGCCCACAGGCTGGGAAGCATTCCCTCCACTCCTGTATCTCAGCAGGACTACAGGATCCCTGTTGTGGAGAGTAATTTTTGGTGTCTCTTCCTGGTGTCTCTCTGGCACTAGATACCCACCAGTTCTGGGCACCCGAGAGGAGACCAAAGGGAAGATGGAGCCGGAGAACACTGGGGTTTACCAGCGCAGTGAAGGCACATGTAGATCTTGAAGTCATTTATGCATTTCAGTACTAAGTCCACTGATCTTAAATGCCTGACAAAAATCAATTTTCTGTTCCATAAAAGCCTCCACTTGGCTAGTTTATATCACATTGAGCAGTGCTGCCATGTTACCACAGCCATTTCTCTAATTGTTTGCACAATTCCTGTACTAAATTTTTTCAACAATGCTAACTTTAAGAATTGCTTTATTTTGGTTTACAAACTAGAGTTGGGACTAATTCTTACATAATGCTTGGTCTGACTTCCAAGAGAGCTGATGTTTTGTTCAAGCAAATGAAGTAATTTAATAATTGCTTGAAAATCTTGCTCTTATTTTATGTGGGAGGGCAGCTTTAATCTGTTTTTCTTCTCATAGTTCTGATAGTTTTTGATGAATACCCCCCCAAAAAAACTAAGCCAAACTCATTTCTGAACTTTCTTCTGTATAGTGTATAGTTCATGTCTTTTCTTTTTGAATGCAAATCAAACTAAGTTGATTTTTTGTCCATTTATTAGATAAAATGGATCTAATCCATTCACTATAGAACAGTTTCTGAGAATTTAAGTGCACTAAGTTTTTAGACTGATATATATACCACTGTCTCAAGGAGAGTTGGGGCCCTTGGACATTTTTCTGCTGTGTATGAATCTGCAGGGACTGCATTAGGGAGATTGGCGTGATTGCCCAGGATGCCATAGCAACTTGAAAAGTATTACTAAAAGAAGCATGGTCTTTTTTTTTTTCCTTAAATAGCTTCAGTAAGGCTCAGCTCTGACATGAACTAAGGTATCTCACAAAATATTATCTCTAAGAGCATTAGATTCCATTTTGTATGCTTTTGCTTCTTTTGAGGACTCCAGTAATCATGTTTCTCCTTTACTTTCTTCTGCACTTTTTACATTTACTTTTTAATACATCATTCTTGTATTTCTAATTCATTCTTAAAATTTATTCATCATGGTTGAAGTGTAAACATCTTGCTCAATTACATGGAGAATCTGAGGCCTCCTGAAAGTGTGGTTGGGAAAACAGTATTCGAGTCTTTATACATATATGTACCTTGGAAGAGAGCTAGGTGCTTCAGAGTACAATCTTTTAATTCTCATATGTCTTATAGGTATCCTTCCCATTTTGCAGATGAGCAAACAGGCTCAGATGTAGCCCATATCACACAGCCAGGTAGTGGGGCAGAGTCTGACATAACAGCTATGCTGCTTAAATAAAGGCTGCCAGTCCGCCACAGTGCGGATTTAAAGTAATCACGCCCCGAATAGAGCACAGAGCCAGCCTTCAGGGGGCCCCAAATGCTGGGATCCTGCTAGGCCAAGGCTGTTGATGCAGAAGTCACAGACCTTTCCACCAACTCATGCGACTCCAAGGTAGTTTCAATTCTTTTGTGCTGCCTGGAATTATGAAAGGCTTTATCAAAAAGAGGGCATTTGAGCTGGGTCTTAAATAAAGAGCTGAACAAGGAAGAGAGCAAGAAAGGGCATTCCAAGAATAAGGAAGATAATGAGAAAGGCCTAAGAGAATGTGTCTCAATAATGATGAGGTATTATTCAGTGTGGTCAAAGAGAAACAGGCCCTTCTGCAGCCCTAGCCTTATTAGGCAGAGACATCTTTATTCAGTCATACTCACACACACCCCAGTGATCTCTCTCTGGATGGGCACTGCGGTTGGACTAGGAGTCAGACAGGGTGAAGCTGCTCTGCACATGTGTTGGTAACACAAACAATGGAAACTAATGATTTGAGGATCAAACTGTCTAGAACCCAGCAGTAGCAGAGTTGGGGGGGAGGTGCGTAGAGGTATCAGTGACAAGCCTGGTGTTCACTGGAGTTTAGACATTGTCCTAATGGGGATAGGGCATGACCAGTGATGGACTGCAGGTGATGGCTCTTGCTATAGTGTGGCAGGGCTGACAGCAGCAGGATGACTGTCACCTACAAGGCTACAGCAGTAATTGGGGCACAAAATGGCAAGATTCAAACTGAAGCAAGGGGAAAGGAGGGACCAGAAGTGGAAATACATAAGGCAGATAGGACTTGGTAACTGATTAGGAGCAGCATTGAAGATAGATAGAGGCCTTAGGGAGGTGATGGTGCCTTTTGTTGAAATAAGGGAAGGTGGGCAGAACACCACCTTAGGGATGTTTTTTCTCTCTAGGTTTCTCCTCCCCCCGTCCCCTTTTTTTTAGAGCAAGTTTAGGTTCACAGCAAATTTGAGAAGGTAGAGAGTTCCCATTTCCCCTTGCCCCAACACATGCATAGCCTCTCCAGTTATTCCCACTTCACTATCATCCAAAGCCAGTAGAGTTCACTCTTGGTGCTGTACATTCATTCTGTGGGTCTGGACGGCCCTAGGTTTCTGACAGGTGAGTATGAAGGATACCTGGAAGAAATCAGATAAAAATATCCAGAACACAGGTAGAAACAAATCAGGAAGGAGCCCAGGACTAGAAATAAGAGAGTAGAGATTCAGTTAAGTATAGTAGCCAAGACTATGAAAATGGATAGGAGTTGGAGGCACTAGAGCGGTTAATGAGCTGGACAGACTGAGCAAGTACATTCCCCACAGTTAAATGAAAATAATGAACCAACCCAAGGATGAATATTTTCAGTGTTTGGGAGCAAAACCACCACCCAGTTAAGAATTACATATTAGATGGGACTTGAGGCTTAATATGTGAGTTGAGTAATTGTATTAACTTACATCGTCATAGAAATGTTCTATAAAGCATTTATACATTGCTTTGTGAAACTTTAAAACATTAATGACAAAAATTTGTTGTACCGATGATGAAAAATAATGTTTTTAGCTGCACTTAATCATGATCTAACACTTAAACTGAACATCAGTTTAGGGATTGAAAATGTTTTCTATGAAGGGCCAGATACTAAGTATTTTAGTTTTTGCAGGCCATTCGGTCTCTGCCTCAACTATTCAATTATGCCATTGTAGTGTGAAGGCCACCACAGCAACACATGAACAAACATGCATATGACTGGTTTTGGCCTGTGGGTGCTTTACTAACCCCCTGATCTAATTCATGAAAACATTATAATCATAACTGACCGGTATCACATACCCTTGACTCAATTCAGAATGCCTCATTATCATGTCATTTGCCAAAAATTCAAGCCCAAGAGCAATTTCTTCTTTTTATTGGTTCATGTTCTGTCAAACAACAATATAGCGCACCTACTGGTGGTATAGTGCGCACCCAAGGGTTCCACTTTCCTGAGCATGCCTTCCCAAAGTGTGAGCTCTGAATGGGCACAAGCTGCATGTGGCTTTTTCAGAAGTGTGTTTAACAGGGAACTAGTAAAGAGAAACTGAGAACCTCAGAGGCCAGAAAGCCTCTGATTCTATGATTAGACCACAGTACAATGCAGACTGAAAGATGTTTAGTTTTGTACCTTAACCATAGTAACATTACCAATAAAACATTTGAAGGCTGTTGGTCCCTTAGCTTATGGAATTGGGCAGGGCAGTTCTAGAAATGGGCTTCTTTTATATGATAACCTCTAAGATGTTTTATTTACATAATTTTTTGACATTGTTTTCATTTTGATTTTCAGGGGAGCCCTAGAAGCTTATGTTCAATCAGTAAGAAGTAGAGAAGGCAAAGAATTTGCACCAGTTTATCCCATAATGGTTCAGCTGCTTCAAAAAGCTATGTCTGCTCTTCAGTAATAATGTGAAATATTCCTTCATTTCTATTTTGTACTCACTCATTCAGGGTTGGCAATTAAAATAACACATACTCGACAGCTTTTAAAACAATCAACTTTTCTGTATTTCCTATTGATCTTTTTCTATTTAGCCCTTGTACCTTAAGTAGCATAAAATATTAAAAATCACCCCCTTCAAACTCCAAGGACCTGATTTCTCCAGAGACTTCCAATATTTTTCCCTCCTTTCAAACTTTTCGGTGAGACTAAAACTTCCTTCTCATAACATAATTGAGGCCCCGTGTAGGTACACACACATAGTAAGTCCCTACTCCTTTTTAAGAGATATGATCAAGTTATCTATCACACAATAAGTACGCTGCTTCCTCCACATAACCTTCTTCCTCACTAGATAAGTATACAGCCCATGGTTTCCATATCTGGCTGCTCATTAGAGTCCAGTAGAAGCTTTAAAAAAAAATTCTGATATTAATTTGTATACCATATTAACATGTATGGGGGTAGGAAGCAGGCATTGTTTAAAAATATCCCTAAGTGTTTCCAATATGCAACAAAGTTTGAGAACCACTGGCATACCCCAAAGTGAAAATATGGTGTGAAATGTTCAAATGTCATACTGTATCTGTAATAAAGATAGAGCAAAGCTGTCTTTACACTTTGTGTGTCATTTTATTAAGACTTTTGGGGCTGCTTTAACTTTGTAACAGAGATGCCAAGTTAAAAATAAAGTTTTTACTCTATAACGACTCATATATAGCAGATAATCTAGATCTTTATTTTTCTATTGCCCTTGTCCTACTAACAATTTTTAATTTAATACTGAATTTAATGCATCCCCTGAACCTGTTATTCTGATGTCTCATACATGACCTTCAGTCAAGATCAATCAGCAGAAGTCAGAGATAAACAATTTTTTTTTCATTTTATTTGAAATAATATACAAGAATATAGTGTGCAAAATTTAGGGGCAACATCATGAAGAAGTGTAATGAACTGAAATCAATTTTACAGCTGTGATTTCTAACCAGAAACACCACTTGGTAAGTAACGTGAAAAGCCATGATTGTAGCTCAGAGCAAAAGCAGCTGTATTGCCAATGTATTTGCTCTAAATTTTCGACAGTTGGAGGAAAAGTAAAGTGCAAGTGTTGCACTGCAGTAAGTGCAAAGTTTGCCCCCACCATAAAGATATGACAAAATAAGATACTTAAGATATGTGGCTGAGGAGATACAGAACACAAAGTTTAAAAATATAATGGTGTCAACTGTTAATAGCACCGTTACAGTGACTATATCCCAATGCTACTAACGTTACCTTGGCCTAGGTCTCCATTGAAAATAATGGATGGGTGCTGCCACCTGGTGCATAAACTCAGCATGCTCAGGTAACTGCAGCAGGTGGCTCTTATGCTGGGACATTGACAACAGCCACCTGCCACGTGTTCTGGTAGCCTCTTGGCACTGGCCAGACTAAGAGCTCCTGTGTTTGGCACAGATGCTGAGCCATGTGATGGTTGCTCACAGAAAGGCCAACTCCCAGCTTGTTTCATTCCATTATGTGTACAATACAGATTAATAAGCAGTAAGGAGCCAATGTATAAACAGCAGTTAACATATTTTTAAATTCCCCTTTTGTACAATTTAAAATAAAACATGTATACACTTCTCCTCTTTCTACTGTACTTTAGCACCACAGGATATCAATTTTCAAGCCTATATTACCTGATAGACATATATGAAGTTTGGAAGAAAAATAAGGCAATTTGGTTTACATTGTTGATAGTTTTAGCTTACTTAATGCTCTAATGGAGAAAGCAAATCCTCACGCATATTATTAAATCATTTCAAGACTCAATGCTATCAGTATCTTATGGTCACACGAATTCAGGACAAATGGTGGGACCTTGATCTTAAGTTTTTCCGTCAACAGTCAATGTTTATGCAAATGCAGACTTAGCATAAGCGTCCTGGTTTAATGCTGTTGTGAGCCCTGTGGAGATAAAATTAAAACTCAGTTCATGTTTACAAATAGATAGCAGTTCTACAAATGAAAGCTTAGATGGATAATATAATGTTTATAAACTTTACTACCATTAAAAAAAATTATAGATTTTAATTTTAAAAGTTTGCTAACATCTGATGGCTCAAACATCCAGAAAATTTATGAAAATGATGAGATGGACTAGGACATGCAAAAAAGGGGATCCAAAGTCCTACATGGAATTCTAAGGTAAAAACCTGAAAAATCCAGTCTGGCTACCCTCTGACTATTTCTTTAAAAGACGTTCTTGAAAAATTTAAATGTGAACTGCACGTTACTATAAACAGGCATAAATACACAGAATTTAAGATGTCTTTGGCCAGCCCTCCTACTGCAAACTGATGTCTTCAATTCATGTTTAGATACTTAAAACTGAGCTCATTCTGTTCTATCATGTGATATTTTCTTGTAATTAATTTAAAAACACTTAATTTAGATACTAGTGTAGTGATGGAAAAGTTCCAAGAGCCAAGTCTAACCGGACAGCATTAGTATTATGGTAAGAATACCAGTCTTCCTGGGTCTTTCTATTTCTTCTCCTTCTTGAGGTGTATAAGTTAGGATTTTGGTACAAATGTCAAAAGTCTCCAAGAAAGTTGGTCAACCTAGCCCCCCATACCTCTAATACTTCTTTTGCCCCTCACCAATTAAGAAAAACGGCTTGTTGAAACATACCACCCCTAAATTAGAAAAAATTTCTACTGTGATATTAAGGAGTTAACACCCATTTTTCAACCCTCCTAGAAATACTACATTCTAAAATTATCTTTTCCACCTCAACATTTCTGGATATTCTAAAGTATGTCTGAGATGTCTACTTTTCATGTTAAAAAAGTAAATGGCACTGAATGATGAAAAGAAAGAAAGCCTGCCTTTTGTAATGGTAGAAAGACATTACTAGCTCTTGAAGTATAAAAAGGCTAACAACATAGCACAGCCTTTTAAAAGTTATAACAATTGCTCCAACATGCCAGTATATTTGGGGGTGGGGGGTGGGGGAGGCGGGGATCAAAATAATTTTAAGCAACTACTTGTTGAAACATACTGAATTGGTTCTTTTCCTTTTCCAACAGTCAGGATTTAAACGTTTTTGTTCTTCAGCCAAAGCCTTTGCTTCTAATGTATACATCCTTCTCTCTTCATTCTTCATTTTCTTCCACCTGTCACCAAGGATCACACTTATGGCTCTGAAAAATAAATATTTATACAAGGCTGAAGGCAAGAATTTTTCATAAAACTCATGTGAAGTGCTGATACATCAGGAAGAAATGTAAAATTAGAAGGAAAAAAAAGACAAAAATCTTGTCCAAAATGAAGGGAAGAAAAGGTCATGATTATAGTAGTCATTTCCAGTAAAATCTCAAGTCATACAGTCCATTCGTCACAGTCTTGGCAGTTAAAGTCTCCAGAATAGTGCCAATATTTCCAATTGTCAAAGGACATATAAAATATCTAAAAATGGATGTTCTACAAAGCATAGATTTAAAGAATAAAGTTAACTATTTCAAAGAAATAATTTAAATTACCATTGAATCTATCTTGGTACATCGGTTTAAGATACTAAGGCAGATAATATTCAGTATGAGCAGCATGAAGTATTCAACTATGTTAAAAGCTATTCATTCTTTTGTGCCCATACTTCTCAAATAATTCTAAGTCATTTTTCATTCGTGCAATCATAGTGAAAATGTGGTGGCATTAACCATTCATACCTTATTGTTTACCTCTTAAAACAACACCAAATAAACCTCAGGCAATATTTGTACTCATCACTTGAGAAAATTGGATAAACTCAAATAAGTCAAACTGACAAGATATCATAATAGAAATCTGAAGCTATTTCTTATTTATATTTGTTAATCTGCCCCCAAACCTACTAAAATAGTCTCATACAGGACACACAGACCTAAATCATTTTCTTCTCTGGAGAACTTTTAACAATTTCATGACAAACAAAACAAATGGTCCTGGAATATCCTGGAATTATTACATGAAATATATACAAACTATTTTTACAATAACTGATAGGGAAGCTAGAGGTAGGCATCTAAGCTTTAGAAGAACAGTAACCACAGAAGCTCTACTACTTAAAAAGTAATTGTGTAGTAAATGTGTTTTTTAATCCCATAAGTCAATGTAATTAAACACTATACTACATCTTCCTTTATCATAATTAAAACCAGTTATTGTAGTCCCTGTAGTCAACTACATACTGGTTGACGTATTTACCAGTTAAACAAACCAATAAATATTCATGTACATATCAATTCCCAAATCAGAGATGCATTTGATGTAAGATGCTTCTCTTTTTAAAATGTAAACTTAAAAATTAAGCTCACAAGAACAGACTGGTGGTTACTAGACGTGGGGCAGAGGCATAAGAGATGCGGCGAAATAGGTGAAGATGGTCAAAAGGTACGAACATCCAGTCACGGGACATAATGTTACGGCAGGGAGACTTATAGTTGATAATGCTGCGTTGTATATTTGAAGGTTGCTAACAGAGTAGAGATCTCAGAAGTTCTCATCACAAGAAAAAAGCTACCTATGTATGGTGATGGATGTTAAGTAGACTTATTGTGACCATTTTACAATATATATATAAATATCGAATCATATATACTTGAAACTAATATGCTATATGTCAACTATATCTCAAAAATATATAATAATATACACATATGTAAAAAATTAAGCTCATGAGACATTGAACCTGAATTCAAAACTGAATTATTTTATGTGGATAATAATTTGACTTTTCTCATGATATCAAGGGCAGAGAATATGGTAGTTCTGATTGTCAGGAAATTAAGAAGATTAATTTTCATACATGGAGAACTTGGTTGGTTTGAGAAGTGAGCAGGAGAGGACTCTAAGAGATGAGGTAAGGGTACAGCAAACAGAATAAAAAGGACTAGAGTTAATTTTTATTCCTGGGCTCTACTGAGGACGCCACTAGGTTTAGTCTTGACAAATCTGGCAGTTATTACAAATTGCCAATACCCATGCATTCACTGTATGACACAGTTGTAAAATAAGTACATTCTTTAGAGCTGACAAAGTTTCTATAAAGTTTTCTCTAAAGATGGAACTGTCAGTTGTTAGAACTATGTCCACTAAAAGGCAAATGACATTTAATACTATTTTAGAAGGCAGATCCTTACCACCTAGGTAACCTAATTATCTGTCTAGATATAAAATAATTATACATAACCATAAAAATTCCACTTAAACTTTTTACTTTAAAGTCAACCTAAGAAAATAGAATTCAACAATAAAAGCTACTGAAGAATAAGTTTAACTGTCCCAATGCCTGTGAATTGCACTGAAGCATTACTCAATTACTATAATCAGAATCATCTCTTTTATTTTTACCTGTTATCTTTCCCTGGATACATCTGAGTATATTCAACTCTGTATTTTTTGGCAAAAAGCATGAAGGCATTCATTGGTCTTTTGCACTTGTTAGGAGAAGTGGCACTCACAGTCCCTGAGCTGTGGTTTTTGACAGCTTTAGCATACAAAGAACTGGAAGACAGCTGTGATGATCCAGGTGAGCCACAGTTTTTACTGAATCCAGATCTTGCAAAGTCTTGACCTCCAGGTCCTCCACAT